ACCGGTGTGCTGTACTAGCAACGAATTGGCCACGTTCTGTTGACGTGACAAACCTTACTAATCGGCTGTGTCGGGTGGTGGCGGGTTTAACGACACATTTATATTTACGCGATCTAACCCACAAAAAACCGGTATTATGAATGCTACTACTGAACTTACATAAGAACAGTGCACTATGAACGCGCCAATTGGAGTTCAATTTCCAGCCATGGCTAACACGAACGAGGTGTGATATCATAACCAACCTGCACGGGCCAGCGTGTGTTGAAGTATGGTCCAAACAATTCCCACGACCTGGTGTCATCCTCATCGCTCACAATCGATGGCCATCACAGAGGCTTTCCATCTGTCGCCGACTCACGGAGAGTCCGGTCCAGCTGTCTCACGCTGTCCAGCTGACTGATGCGTTTCATTTCTCTAGCCTTCCATATAATCCCGTGTCTGTATGAATGTAGAACTTCTTTCGCACCATACAAAGCCAACTGGGCTAATCGGAGGTGTTGATCCCCTGCAGAACACTATTTATTGGTTCATAATTAGTTTGTTTTGAGTTATATCATTGTGTAGGTATAATTTTTTTTTTACTATAAATATGCCAATAGATTTTCAGCAAATCCAGAATGACAATGGTGTATGTTTCACTGGCGCTTACAACAAGCATAATCATGTATTAACAAAAGCTCTGCTCTCGTGTGGAGAGCAGAGCAAACCAAATCAATCGACATATTTGCCCATTTGAGAAATTGATTTCATTGGCTCTGTTACGTGCTGGAGGATTATGGTTCAATTTTGACATAATACTTACACGATTCAACCCACGATTAACTAATAACGAATCATATTTTTGGGTCGTAAAGCCTCCATATAAAATTCCATTGTTCATTTGTGCACTTTTCTAGTCTATTGTGTTTGTTGTATCACCTCCGATTAGCACGGGTGGCTATGTACTGTGCGACAAAAGTTCGACATATATACTGTACATACCACAAGTAATTATTTTTGGAGTCCGTGCTGCATCTGTACCATGCTTGCATATCTCGATGGTTTATTGGTATAAGACTCGTCTGTGGCCGATTGAGTTTTTGCTGCTAGTTTACAGGCCAGTCTTTCTAACACAGTTCGGCTCCATGAAAAGAAAAAAATGTACCCGTAAAAACAAAGTTTTTCACTATAAATCCTTTATATGCGTGGCGGCTAGAGTCCTCTCGTCCTCTGGCTTGAGATGGTTGCCACCTATGGGTCAGATGATTGCCTGCCACCATTAAGCAATTGGTAATTAAATATAATTTATTTTTTCCTAAAAATTGTAAAATTTTGGAGAAAAATTTTTCACGAAAATAAATTGTCACGCACAACGAGTCTGTGTGCAAAATGTCAGCTCGATTGGATCACGGGAAGTGGGTTAAAAAACGACCGAAAGATTTGCACAGTCGTAAGCGCGCAAGCAAGCAAGTTAACTTAATATAAAGGATTTAAAAAAGAAACACTTCTGAATGATTTGAAGTTGAACCGAGGTTGGCAGAGTGCATCGCTTTAGTTTTTGGGGAGGGGGGGGGGTCCCCTTAAGGGGATGTCATCTTGCGCTTCTGTGTGTTGTGTTTATTGGGGTGCTGTAACATGTTTTTGCACTGCAGACAAAGTGTCTCAATAGCAATAATAACCGCGCTATTGATTACAAAGGTAATGTTAAATCGGGCATGGCATTGTGAAATCAAAGTACACGTAGGAATTTGATTAATTGCAGCTGCCATGGACCGGTTGCCAGTGGTGTAAAGCATGGCACCGTCTTCACTAAACAGAGGAGAGAGAATGACAGCTCACGATGACGATATTGGTGATGATTAGATGTCACGAACGTTCTTGTTTTTGAAGGTTTCACGCCTGTGAACTGATCGCGTAGAACTCTGCCACTGCTTGGAAGGCCTGGATGTGATGGGAACAAGAGGAACACACTTAACCACAACTACACTCTCTCTATTCACACCTTAATCGGTGCTGTTTGTTGCTGGTCGCTTGAGGTTTTTTTGGGCCTGTCCTTAGAAACTATATATTTTTTCCAATTCACTGCTTTGTTCAATGACAGTGTATATTCAATGACATTTTTTTTATGTGAAGGATAATGTTCACCGTCCTTCCACAAAACCCATCTTAAACAAGACGTAGGTGACATGTTGTCAAATACATGCAATTGGGGTTGAATAGGAGCTACGCGTGGTAAATTCCATCCAGACAGCGGACATCAACGGGCACCATGATAACAATACGGAGAATTACAGGAGAAACTGAACACGTTTCGTCAATAGCATGTTATGTACGCGATAAGAAGGCACATTGTCCGAAAGGTCGCCTATTATATTTTAATTATTTAAAGGCCACAGGTGTTGTTATTGACGTATGTGTTGAGTTGTTGTTGTTGTTGTTGTTAATTGTGCGTTTGCACCACTGCTAATACAGCAGCAGCATGAAATAATTTATAAATGAACGTACATTAGCAGGCTTTACGACAGCAATTATTTTTGGAACTACTCTACTTTGATATGAATAAAATATGAACATTTTGAGTCAAACGCATTCTCTTATTTTCCTAAAGTAATCCGCTTATGCAAACATGTTGGCTTACATCACCAAAGTATGAAAAACAAGAATAGGGTTTTGCCCTTTCTGGCAATAACACAGGAGGTGTTTAGATGTTCAAACACCAAATGAACATGATGGCGGTGACCCCAGGATCCCGAATCAACGGAAGTCAAAATCGAAATTTATTTGTTTTTGGCGATTCTGTCCCACCGCGCACATGAACACCGCGACCCACGTGGCGCGGATCATTCTGTTGCCGTGTCGTCCAAGCGCAGCAGCAGCGAGGACGAATGCGCAGAAGAAACAAAAATTGTAATCCTTGATCAGCGCAACGTGTAGAGTGCGTCGAGATGAATAGATTGCCGCGTCGTTCGCCTTCAACAGACATAAAACGACGTCACAACGCAGTTTTTGCGAGAGCCGGGGCCTTATGGATCCCCGGGGTCCCGCCATAAAGTTGAAATAGAAATTCTAGATTTGAAGCTTTCGTGACTGCAAGGATTCATACTCTTAGTTATTTCGGTAAAGTCACGTAGGTAAAAAAAATGAAATGAAAATTAATAAAAATAAAATAATAAAATAAAATCACGACGTTTCGGAGGCAACACAAGTCTCCGTCATCAGGTGGGACCGTCACAGCCAGATTTGCTGCATCAAGTGATGTAGCAAATCAAGTGATGTAGCAAATCTGGCTGTGACGGTCCCACCTGATGACGGAGACTTGTGTTGCCTCCGAAACGTCGTGATTTCATTATTTTATTTTTATTAATTTTAATTTAATTTTGTTTTACCTACGTGACTTTACCGACAGAACTAAGAGTTTGAAATAGAAACCTTCTGCAAGCAATCGAGTCTGAATTAACCACACGTACTTGTGGTGAACATGCAAACAAAACATGATCTGATAATTACGTGCATTGTCTTTGAAACATGCATCACCAAACACCGTGCATCATTCGCCGCTGTATATACTGTTGATGAATTTCATTGTCATATGCGTGTTGCCCGTACGATTGGTTTTGTTTTATATGTACGGTACAAACATGACCGGCAGTGTCACACTAGTGCTCAAAGGCCCAATGGGGTGGGAGGGGGGGGGCTTTGCTCATCCCCATTGAACCAGCGGTGGCAATTCCACATTCACATGGCAGGGTCCAACATTGATACCTGCAATTCATACGGGGCTCTCGCATGGGTCCATACAATATTTATGCAGGTAACTTGTGTACAGTTGTTGTTGTTGTTGGTGGTGAAAACAATGAATATTTCGACTCCATTAAATTACAACTTCAAGTCCATAGCATTGGCACCGTTTATTGGTTCATGTGGTGGAGCGGTGGTGCAGTGGTTAGCGCACTTGCACGAGCCACCGGCACTGCACTTCTCCCCCTTTACCAACCGATACCGACCATAGTGGTGAAGTATGGTCAAAACCGATGCGGCGTTGGGGGGGGGGGGAGGAGAAGAACCCACCCCGTCCTGGGAAATTATTCGACCACGCTGGTCTACGCTGGTTGAACGTGGGATGGAGGCATAGAAGTGCAGTACAACAATCGATTTTTGTTGTTGTTGTTTGCACTTCCCCTCTGCAACCACGCAACGCGTCACCGTTAGAACATTCGATAAGCATCGAACAACAAACACCGCGGCCTGGGGGGCAGCGCTTTCTCAAGCCAACGTGCGCGCAGCAACCCCATCGCGAGATAAATCGATACTCTGAGAAGCCCGCGGCACATCTCCCCCATATATGGTCACAGCTTCCGCCCAAGAACCCCCCCCCCCCCAAGTTTAAACCACGCCCCTTCAGTTTCAACCACGCCCCTTCAGTTTCAACCACGCCCCTTCAGTTTAAACCACGCCCCTTCAGTTTAAACCACGCCCCCTCAGTTTAAACCACGCCCCCTCAGTTTAAACCACGCCCCCTCCCCCCCGTTACCCCCCCCACCTCCACTCCCTGCAGCGTTTATCACCCCCCCCCCCGCCGCATGAGCCACTGCAGTGGTGGGGGTGTAGTGGGGGTCGGGGTGTAGGGGTGGTGGGGGTGTAGTGGGATCTAGGGGTGGTGGGGGGTGTAGGGGTGGTGGGGGTGTAGGGGTGGTGGGGGTGTAGTGGGATCTAGGGGTGGTGGGGGGTGTAGGGGTGGTGGGGGTGTAGGGGTGGTGGGGGTGTAGTGGGATCTAGGGGTGGTGGGGGGTGTAGGGGTGGTGGGGGTGTAGGGGTGGTGGGGGTGTAGTGGGATCTAGGGGTGGTGGGGGGTGTAGGGGTGGTGGGGGTGTAGGGGTGGTGGGGGGCGTAGGGGTGGTGGGGGGCGTAGGGGTGGTGGGGTGTAGGGGTGGTGGGGGTGTAGGGGTGGTGGGGGTGTAGGGGTGGTGGGGGTGTAGGGGTGGTGGGGGTGGAGCGGTGGGTCCTGTGGTGGTGGCGGTGTGCGGTGTGCGCGCGTGTGGGCAACGCTGCGTGGTGGCGAGCCATTCGGCTAGCGAAGGTTTTTTTTTTTAAAAACGAGAAGGGAACGGACGAAGCAGCGGATGGGTGACGACGCAGAGTGTAGCTAGAGACGTCCACCGAAGGAGTTGAAGAGGGATTTGGCTTCCAAAGGACGAACTTCTGTGGGTCACCGCCGCATGACAAAGTTCGAGTGGTGGTTGGTGCGCATGTGGGTTTGTTGTTTTTTTAAACTTTTGCAGGAGTGACTTTCTCTCAATGTGCTGCAAGATCTTGGAGGGGCTGTCCGTGGCGGCAGCGGCGGCGGTGGTGGCCGGATAACCGGGAGACGCGGATTTAAAAAGCACCCCCTCTCTCCTCCTCCTCCCACGCCCCTTCTTGCGTGCGAAGATCGACCGCTGCAATAGTCGCCACTCCACCACATTTGCGTGCCGATCGCAGACAGACGCAGGAGGGCAGGGGGAGAGAGGGCCGGGGAAACGGAGAGCCTCCGACGAGCTCGGGAGGAGGAGGCAGCGGCGGCGATAAGAGCGCATTCATCACCGCTCGTGGTTCAAGATACGCCGGGGGGACATAACGCGGAGTTTGGAAGGGGATTATCCATCTCTGTGATGGGGCGATTGCTCCGTCATTCCATCGCCTCCCTTCTTCTGCTGGGGTTGCTGATCAGCGTCACACGCACGGGTGAGTGAGCGAAGTGGAGATTCGCGTGTGTCTGTGTTACTTGACGGATGTTGAACCTCTTTCGCACCGTACGTAATAGGCCACCGTGCTGATCGGAGGTGCGTGGGGGGAGGATATTAAGCACGACTAAACGCACACAGCGGTTCTAAATAAATGTTGTTTTCAACTTAAAACTAAGCAGGACTTGAGTCGGATTGTGCATATGCATTCAGGTTGGTTGCGGAGTTACGCGATGGGCAGTGCAGGGACTTTGTAGCGGAGTCCAGTGTTGTACGGTACTCTGCTACAACATCTATGGTCACCCGCCTTCATCAAGCCGAGACTGACCAGCGCGGTGAAGTACGGTCAAACACCCATCAGAACCCACGTGGTGCGGAGCGGCCCTCATACAGCTGTGTATTGACAAGGGCCGATCGCGTGGATTGTGATGGGCCCCCTTTGCAAAGTGTCTTGGTGAGTCCCAATCTGAAACTATCTCGCAATACACGATGCGGCCAGGAGAGGGCGGTATAGCGGTGGATTCTTGAATATGTCAGTGCGGCGCTTAAAGCGCTTTATCCACCTCTTGTGTGTGCGTGTGTGTGTTTTTTTTTCTCTCTGGGCACTTCGGTTTTCTCTCACGATGAGTACGGTTGGCCACGCACGGTGCAAAAGAAGTTCAACAGACATGCGTTCCTACACAAGAAGCCAAACTTTCGTTGATATTCTCCAAATTTTTTTTTATAATTTTGGCCAAACATCCCAATGCAGGACCCTCCTGAGAAAGTCGTGTGGGTCAGTGAGGCTTTACTCTCTAAATGAAGTGCATTATTCTTCATATTCTCATAAAAAATTATAATATTGGCCAAACATGCCAATGCAGGACCCTCTTGAGAAAGTCGTGTGGGTCAGCGAGGCTTTACTCTCTAAATGAAGTGCATTATTGTTGTTATCAACGTACGATTCTTTTGGCGACTCTGTCCTTGGTACCACTTTCCATGACAAAGCTGTAGAGCCTCCCACGTGTTTGTATGGCCAATAAAGCGTGGATTATTGCGAGTGATAACCCACACGATTGAGAAGGTTATCACAAGATTTGCTTTATTGGCCATATAAAGGGATTTCGTGCCGCTAACGTTGAGCTGCTGCGAGTGTCGAGAAATCAAATATCTTGCTCTGGGTCCATGGACTGTGCATCATCTGGACAGCATGGGACCCCCAACAGCACTCTGGTGGCTTTGGCACGGGTGTTCACATAATTGGTAAATCCTTTGCACGTGCAGTCCATCGTCAATCCACTGCTGGATGAAGGCCCTCCCCAAGCCGTGCGCGTGGTGGTCGTGGAGGGTTATTTTCCCATGCTTTGAACCACTCTACACGGTGCTAAGCCTCAAGACACGATTTCCTTTTTTTGGCAGGGTTCTCGGTGAATCGAGACGTTTGGCCAGTTCCACGTATGAGTGTTTGTACTTCGTGTGGGAGGAAACAAGAGTTGTTACCCGGGCAAATGCCACGGACTCGGAGGGGTGCGCTCAGTTCTAAGCGTGTTTGTATTCAAGTGAATTCGAGATCGTGGCCCTGTCGAGTAACGTGTCTAAACTATACTTCCAGGCTGATGCTTAAACCCAAAAATCGCCTGGAGTTTTTTGGGTGTTTTTAATCTAATACCTGTTGGAGGCAGGGTCTGGAATGTGGGGAGACTGACAGGCTGAATGGCTGAATGTGTGTTTTTCCCCCCTGTGTTTCCACTGTCTCTCTTTATAAAATGCTATATTAGTCCCCATGCACCGTAACACAACTATACGCGTGCGTTAGAGATGTGTAAAGGCATGTGTGTGTGGCTTTTCAATTAGACACCCATTGAATGAGAAGACATATACTAGTTCCTACATAATGCATTCATAGAGACGTGTGTGTGTAAGTGAATGCAGGACCCTTTGGCAAGCCACTCCTGAATGAAAAATTCCCCCCACTCTAAACTAAACGATATAAAAATATATATATTTTACCAGCTAAGGCCCACTGCCCAGCTCTTTTTCAGAAGTGACCTGGCCACAAATGATAGCTCAACTAAGTGGCTTATCACGTGTAAATGTATAGCAGCCAAATACTCTGAACGCATGTCGTTTCTAAATGTGGAGGGAAAAACCGGAGGAACCGAAGAAAAATCCAAATGGCCACGGGGAGAACATACAAACTCCAAATATAGCGGCGTCTGGATCGGTATCGAACCCACGACCTCCTGTGTACTAGGCAACGTAGTTAATATCTCACCGCCATGGCACCCACTCTGTCTGGGACGTGGGGATTGTTTGACCTTACTTCCCCACGTTGGTCAATGTGATTTGGAGAAGTGTGGAGGGTGAGCATGCAGTGCTAGTTTAGATATCACTCACCCTGGTGTTAGCCACTACTGGGGATTGAACTCTGGTGCCTAGGTTTTCGTGTATTTCGCACAAATCATTCAAATAACAACAAGCGGCATGCCACCATTCTATACACTGAAACGTATAAGCTACACACACGTGTTCTCTGCGTCCCTGTATTAAGTGCACATGCTTTACATTACAGTCTATGCCTATAATGATACACTTGGAATATAAAAGTCTGTCCTGAGTTGTAATGAATACAGCTAGAAATATATGAAAGGTTTGTGTGTGTGTGCGTTATGTTTAAAGGAACTGCTCGTTGTTTAAATACCACAGGTATACATTTGTTGACACTGGTAACCCGGACATCGTGAATACACACCGGTATCTATAAAAGAAAACAAATTCCACCCATTCTTGTCCATCTGTGGATGAAGGCCTCGCCAATGCCATCAAGGGATTTTGTTTTGACCATCGTGGTCCGTGAAGATTGGTGAAGGACCAGGGAGGGCAGGGCCAGTTATGATATCACTGGCCAATGATGTTACCCATGGCCCGGGAATTTAACTTGAGTCCCTGGTTTCCCAGGGCAGCGCGCTAACAAAGGCACCCACCACTCCACCCCACGATGTCCATAGCACGTCTTAACAACATTACATTAGGTGACTTGAATTTGATTGACACCATTTATAATGGCTTCTGGGGCATTACACCTCCTCTCTTGGAAAATGTATTAATCTTTATCAGCTGTCCAAGATCTGCATCTATTATTGTTCCGTGTTGCACACTCGTACTTGTAAACAAAACTATTTTAAACAGAGCGGTCCCGTCACATGCAGCTGTCGTTGACATTGCATCACGTGCCTTTTCTACTGGGTGATACTCTGTGCTCAATTGGACGGCACTTCACTGTTGTTTCAAATCTTCTCGTTGCTGCATGGGTGGCTCACCGAGAACAGAGGAGGAGGGGGGCGGACACAAAAAACAACGAAGTCCTCGTTGTTTTTAATTTCTCGCATTCCTGAGCTATTGCGATAGCGGTCTTTGTTCAGAGTCAATGCGTTATCACAAAAGGTCCTCTCTGACCCACCACCCACACTGCATGCCATCGCCACCGCCACTGCCGCCACCACCAGCACCCCCAGATAAACGGTCCGTGTGTTATCATGGCCACGGTGCTGGTCGGGCAATGTGAGGCTCACGTTTGCCTCGTGCTGTTTCCTCAGCAGTCAAAACGCTCAACTCCCGCGGTGGCCGAGGGCTGGTAGTCGAAATTCCACATTCCTATGGCTGGGTAGAGTCTTAACAAGCACTGCTAACTTGGCACTGAGTATGTGTGGCAAAAATGTGTGGCAGCCTTTAGCACGTGGTGCTGCTTTCAGGAGAATGAGCCGGTGTTGATGTCTAGTGGAGAGAGAGCAAAACGTTTACAGTACGAGCGATGGCTGTGAGTTTCGATATCCAGTCAAGAGCTTCAGGAGATGCAGAGTGACTTTCAGAGCTGTTCGTGGGGAATGAGGAACAGCGGAGAGAGAAGTTCACCAAATGTTTCATCGTTCCAAGTTCATGATGTCCACGCTGCTGTGGAGTGTCCTCTTTGAGTCTGCATTTGTGCGTATGATATCTGCAGAATTCATGTGATGTTCTGATCACGGTTCATGACTGAGTCAACATTGGCTGGGATTTGAACTGTGCCACCGAAGGCATGAGACCAAGGCTCTTCAACTGAGTTATGTGTTCGTGGCTCAGTGAGTAGACGAATGAGTTTTCTGCCAACTTGGTTAAGGCCATATTTGCCATTCTCTATTCTGTATTGTGACTCTTCAGTGGTGTCCATGCATCTATTTCATTCAACATTAGTGCTAAAGAGTGCTAATGTAGAGCAATTGCATGTTCCATCGCAACATCTGTCGATCGGTAAATATGGAATAGCGAACCGTGACACAAGTTTAGAAGTGCCCTTGTTATGTGATGTACAATGCTTTGGCCAAGAGAGAGACAATGCTTTGGCCATCTACTGCTGGATGAAGGCTCCCCATGCCCTGAGTCTGTGATAGAAATTCCACATTCTTATGCCAAGGGTCAGTATATTCAGAGGATATGCCAAAGTAGACTATTTGGCTGCCATAAATTTCCACGTGATAAGCCACTTCGTTGAGCTATCATTGGTGGTCAGGTTGTTTCGGAAAAAAAGAGCTATATAGCTTAGTAGGCCCTACCTAGTAAAATAATTGTAAAAAATGTATAGATCGTGATATAACACTTTACAGCCCTGTGGTTGACCCACTGCCGGATGAAGGCCTGCCCCCACACCACGTCGGTGATGTGTGATCACACTCTGCCACGCGGGTCGGTGCGGTTTGGTGAAGGTTCATGCTTTGGTGGCAAGGACCAGCACCGGTTCCGCAGCTGACCGGGAATTGCCCTCGGGTATGGTTAACGTAGGCACCACGGAATAATTGACCTTCATCAGAGCCTGAAATTACACGATGGAACCGCATGGATGTGAAAAATCCACCTGACGTGATGTGGAGCGTCAACTCGTTTCAGCTCTTTAACGTGTTTTTTGGGGATGTGACTTCGCAAAGCAGCTCCCAGAACGTGGAGTGAAACTTCGCCGCACTGGACATGACAGCCCTAAGACATGCATCT